CTGCCGGACACTGGCGCCACCGGGCCCTCTGACCACCACCAGTAGGCAACGGGTGAAGTGTCTTGCCCAAGGACACAACGACCGAGACTGACCAAGCTGGGGCTCGAACCGGCAACCTTCCGATTACAAGGCGAACTCCTAACTCTTGAGCCACGATCGCCCAGGTACAGCAACAAATAAATGCTTGCATCAGATTTAGACTTTTCCCTTGAACTTTGTGCGGTCTCTGCCGCAATCTTTCTTGGTCTCCCTCGTATTTAACTGGTGCTAAAAATGGACCAGTGAAAGAATATTTTTAAAAGTAATAACAATGTTTGGCTAATAATCAGATCTGATCAGTAGTACTGTGCTAAAACCACAGACTCCACTGGAGAATTCTGCAGCTGCATAAATAGATTTCCAGTTATGAGCAAATCAGGGAACAGCACACCCTGTGTTGCCTGTTTTTCCAATTTCTAATCAGATACTATATTTACTCAAGCACTAATGTTTGTGCTTTTCTACTTACTATTTCAGTGGGAAATATCGTCCAGTGTAGAAGAACAGAAGTTCAGCTGTCACATTTCAGATGTCCACAGTAAACTTTCCATCCAGATGTAGTGCATATTTGAAAAAAAAAACTGGAGTTTTTCCACTCGCTTTGTTTTTAAAATGCAAATTTTAAACATGCGCGAAACAGGTGGTTGGAAAGTTGATAGCACCAAATGGTGATTTCCCCTCACACATGTTTTCATTTAAATACTGTGGAAAGCAAATGAGGTCAAATATAACATTTCACAAAAAAAAAAACCAACTTAAGAATAAAAATCTTAAAAATAATATAGACGTGACATATATATTATTTTAAACCTTTAGATGCATTTTGTTCTTTTTTGTAAAAGCACGGAGAGGCCTGACTCTTAAAAAAATGGATCAAACGGCTACAAAAGCAAAAGGTTACTTGCACACTGATTTTATAGCTTGTAGCACCTTTAGTTGCAATAACTAACTAAATAAATAAAGTAATAAAGTAACAGTTTTCTTTTTGACTTTAACAGTCTGTCACATCATTGTAGGCCAATTCTAGACCCCTCTTTTTTTTACAAAGCTTGTTCAGGATATTGAGATTTGGAAGCATTCATGTATGCACAGCTCTCTTAAGGTCCTACCACAGCATGCCTGCACATTGACTGACCCATTGTGACACCTTAATTGTTTTTTTTTTTTTTATCAGCCATTCTGTTATAATTTTGCTGCTGTGCTTGGGATCATTGCCCTCTTTTATGCCTGAATTTGGACTAAGCTTTAGCTGTCCAAAGACAGATGGTCTCACATTTAAGTCCATACAGAGAAGTTCATGGTCGTCTTAATGACTGCAAGGTGCCGAATTCCTGTGGCTGCAAAACGAACCCAAATCATCACTTGGCCACCACTGTGATGCGTTTGATATTAAATGTTCGTGTTGATATGCTTTGTTTGCTTTTGTGCATTAGGGATTATGCCAAACATCTCCATCCGTTAGGTTTACAACACCAGAAGTGTTTTTTTTAGAGAGAAGACACTTTCTCCTGGAAACCCTACTAAACAATTCACACTTGTTTAATTTTTTTCTAATCGTGTTATCATGAACTTTAACATTTAACATGCTAACTGAGGCCTGTAGAGTCTGTATTTCTTGTGTTTGTTGTAGTTTCTTTAAGAGTTGTGTGGTCTGACCTTAGGGTGAATTTGCTGAGAAGACTGTCTTTGAGTTGACAAAAACGGAATGCTCCAGACCAGCAAACAATTTTTGAGATACTTACCTTTGTAATTCCTACAAAAGCAGTAAGTTTACGGCATAGAGAACTGTAAAAACTCTTTTTCACATGCTTGTTAATGTTCAAGTCATGCTTATGGCAAGAACATCAGACTCTAATTTCTGTCAAGCCTTCATAATGTAAATTCATAACTTTTACTATGTTTTATTGGTGTTTCTACTTAAATACACCTCTGAAAATGTGCTGGTAAAGACCCAAACATGCCAAGTTCTGTCCTCAAACTGACGTCAAAAACCACTGAAGGTTTCCAACATGTTAAGATGAATGGTTTTGCAATATAGTACTGAAGATATTAAAATCACGAGCACGATTCGGTATATGATTCCTTCCAGAGGAGTAGTAATTGCTGTAGTTTGGAGGTTGGGAGCAGTCTAATATTTAAAAATGACTGGGTGGTGATTATATGTTGCTTTGAGAAGGGTTGTTTTTGGGTTTTATCACCAGCAATTTCATTTTGATGGTTTCCTCTACCTCTACAGTTGATCAATCATTTGAATGCACTCATATCAATTTTACTGCAATCATAAAGTGGGCTGGGGAGCATTTACGGCTTGATGTGACATGCATACATCGCCTGTACTGGTGAAATGACAACAGCCAAGGGAAGCTTAATGTGTTATACAGTCACACCATAAAATATGCCACTCATGGAAAAAATATGTTCCTTCCTTTTCCTACTTCCAGATGTTTTCGCAGCACACTATTTATGAGGGATTATAAGAACTAGGACTCCTTCTACTTAGGAGTTTAGATAAGAGTCACTTTGTAATAAATCTGCAAAATTTAAAGCTGGATCTACAAAGTGGTGTTTTGAAACAGAGCTACCACCTGTGGGTTTGAAAGAAAGTAAAGTGTGTCAGGACAGCAGCTAATGTGGAACCATTAACAGTATCTGTATTTGATTAACACTGTAAGATTGCCATAAAGTGAACCTGATTTCATCATTTGAGACATTTCTATGGCTGCAGTACTCTGCACAGTAGCACGAGACCATTTGGACACATGGCCTGAAATCACAGAGGCTGCAGCTGTGGGATCAAGAGGCACATTCCCTCAGAGCTGCATAAACACTTCCTGTTTCGTAGGTGAGAACTGCAAAGGAGTCAGACTCGGAGAGGAGAGCTGTCAAGAGACATTAACAGAGTAATAAATATGTGAAATCACAGCATGCTCACAGATACTCCTAGCAAACAAGATGAAGTATCCCTTAAATAGTGGAATAATTTGACCTAAAATACAGCCAAATAGCTAATAAATAGCTTGATTTCTGTTCACTGTAAGAAATGGTTACAGAAATATTTCACCATTTTGGGAAATATTGTGATTTTTGATGAAAGTTTGATGCAAACACTGAGAGTAAAGTAAATATGAAAGCTAGCAAGAGCATTAGCTTAGTACAAAGACAAGAGGGGGCAGCTAGCTTGGTTATGTTCAAAGATTTAAAAAAATAAAATCTCCATATTTTAAAATCTTACTACAGCAATTTTTAAAGGAACTTTGTCACATTGCATACACATTGTTGCTTACAGACACATATAAAGGGTTTTTTAAATATATGTTTTCAGTCTTTTTTCCAAACTACGCTAATAGCTGCTTCAGATTTAACATTTAGCATAGAGTTGTGACTCTTCATCAAAAAGCCACCAAAATACATTTTCTTTACTATTTGGCAGCATGTTGTAACAGTTTTAAATGGCGAAGCTTTTCTGGGGCCAAAAAACTCAAGTGCTCACTTGAGCAGATACAGCGACATCCTGGCCCTTGGACGCAAACACTAACCCTCCCAAAAAAAACCAAACTGACCACATTTGCGAGGCTTCAAACAGTCTCATTCTCAAAATCCAAACTTTTTAAGTAACTTAAAACTGATCTGCAGATTGAGTTGAATTTTATTACAAATTTCCTCTTCTGACAACATAACAAATGCAGTCCTAGAAAAACAATGAAAAACACATGCAAGCTTCTTGGATGTCTGTTAGGTCCAGACATGTTACTGCTAAGGAAAAATGGTTGATCATCTTATCTTGATGTGAGCTGTCTGGACCTCTTTATATCCACAGCTTATTAAATTACCAAAACCCATATTAACAGTTGTAGTTTATTAATATAAATATATAACCCTAGATACGGGTGCTGCTTTTAAAGAATGGTACATGAATTTAGAGGAAAAAAAAAGATATTTCCCACTTACAAAACTTATCGCCTCAGTCATCACACAAGTCTGTATAGCTCATTACATGTGCGGCTCTGCTGGCACCAAATTAATCTGCTTTAACGCCACTTTTGCAGTGTAAAATTTTTTGAATGAACCCAAACAACTTCATCTTTGACATATTTAACATGATCATAACATGGACACATGATTTCTTTACGCTTTACGGACAGGTGCACATTGAGATTTAATGTCCTTAAACTATGCTGAGAGGATAAAGATACAATAAGTCTGATGGCTTTGCATCGTGTCATTTTGAACCACCACATCAGAAAATTTATTTTAAAGTCTGGCTTGCAGTATGAAACTCTGAAAACCTTCACTTCTGCATGACAGTGAAGAAGAAGACAACGAAGAAGAAGAAGACAAAGAAGAAGCAGAAGAGGTTTTCTAAAAGAAAATTTAATGAAGCATAAAAATTTCCGTCTCCAGCCCGCAGCACCAGTGTTCTGCTGAGGAGACTTTTTTCTTAAATCCTGTTTCCTCTTATTTATGCGGGAGAGATTACTGCTCAAAAGCTCTTAACACCTAAATCTTCTTATCCATAAACACAGGAGGAAAAAGTGCATGTTTTTCCTGTCCTGAAAAACATGCACCTAAACTTTCTAAAATGTCAAGGCATTCCGCTAACTGGTGCTAAATCCTGCCGAGACGCTGCACTGTGCATTTATTTTAACAAGCTTAAGCTCAGGTTATTCTTCCCAGGTGTCTCTTTTGGATTTTCTTTTCTTTCTCCCTCTTTCTCTGCATTGGGAAAAATGTCAGATGTGATCTGCGGAGACATCTCAGCCCATTCTTCACAGCTGTGAAGTAGGATGTCTTATGATACATTTACTTGCTTCTCAGTTTCCATGTTCCTTTGCATGTGCAATCCCAAAAGGCAAAAAAGGAAAATGATCCAATCTCTGCCTTGCAATCAGACGACCATGCCAAAGCAAAACCAAATCAAAATGAACACATTTAACTATAAGACTTGATGATGCATCACTTACCTTTGTGTGTGCTGCTGCTGCTGCTGTGGTATCACTGAGCTTTTAAGGAGTTTGTGACAGACGCTGAACAGCAGCACTGGTGAGGGTTTGGCTTTTATCTACAGGTGGGTGGAGCTGCACAGGCTGAGAGCACAGAGGAGCTGGATCTGTGCACGAGGAGAGACGGGGGGAAGAAAACAGGATCTGTGTGAGAGAGAAACCACTACTGGAACTCCATGTTTGCAGCATTAAGAGGTTATTATACACAGAAACAAAGTGAGGGGAAAGAAGAAACCCAATCAGCTGCACGAGGAGGAAGATTCTCGTTTGACTTGGACCTCTCAGTGCATTCTTTGCATGGAGAAAGATTTAAGGGCAGGGTCTTACTCTGGTTAGCCAATGCTAGCTGAGGTTAGGCTCTAGCTGAGTGGGGAGGTTTTTGTGGCAACCAAAGTGCACACACAGTAGTTGATAAAACAACCTTACCACAAAGGACTATTTAGAAACTGGTCAAATTGTTCACATTTCTACTTTTTAAGGACTTTTGAGACAACATAAGAGAGGATATGAAGCTACTTAACATTGGAATTGTGTTTTCTTATTTAAAATAAAAGCAATAATCAAACAGATCTATTAGTATAAAACTCCTACTCATAACTGAGCAGCGGTACATCACAAATTTGACCTAAATGCTAGCTACTAGCATTCTTTGCTCACAATGAGAGCGGTAACAAGCCTTAAGTTACTGCAAATACCATGCTTATGTGCTCCTGACGTGTATTTCAGGACATTTATACATATAAGTACAGCTAAATAATGACACGGTGAATGATTTTGCATCGTAACTGTGAAAAAGTTGCGTGTGCAAGCCTGAATACTTCTCATCCTCAGTGGTCACCATCTTACTTTTGTACTCAGCCAAATTCCAGCCAGTAGGTGGAGGATTAATGTTGGTGCCAACACCAGTGGCTTAAAAGAGTTTGTGTTGATGTTCAGTGTTTATCTGTGCTTAAATGTTCTATTAAATGTAAGAGAATTTAATGAGTTCTGCTGTCAAAGTCTCATCAAGTGTCAAAAGTTTGCAAAATACAGCAGTCACAGTGTAAGTCGGTTATTGCGAGTGCTTTTTTCTCACAAAGAGAGCTTGTGGTTGTCTAAATTGTATATAACATTCTTTCTTACGGGCAGCAGGGGGCAACTCTTATGATTTGAAAAGGAAGATCACTTGTATTGAGATTTATAGGAAAACAGCCCTTTGGCTTCCTCAATCTATGACCTCAGTGAACTTTTTCCTGGAGAAGTCAATGTCTTAATCACTAGTTTCATGTCTTACTGAGTACAAATTTCTTTTCTTAAAAATGTAAATAATGTTCTAATATTTTCCTCTAATCTTTTTCTCAATCAGTGATCCAAACTCAAACCGCCTCTCTACACAGTTTAATCAGTTCTAATTGGATCTCATCTCTCCAGAACATTTTCGTCTCATTTTTATTCGCTGACAAAAGTGCCAATACATTTAACCATATAGTTTTTGTGCTAATAGGAGCCAAGCAAAGTTGAGCTAAACTAAGGCTGTGCAGACCTGCATCGGGCGCCCATGCAACTCCTCTCCACAGCTTTTACATTGAAAAGTTGACAGTGTTTAGCTTTAGTCCAAAGTCCACCAAACAGAGACGGCATGGGGTGATCATGGACCTTCTGAACAGCTGTTTCAAATCTGAGAATTATTCTTTGAGCTTTTGTTTGTGTTACTATTTTACTTCTTTAGTTCTTGTGTTGTCATGCAGGGGTTGCTTTTAAAGATAACATTTTGGTTCCCCCCTCTGTCAGCTTTTTTGCGTCTCAGTCTCACAGCAATAATTTGTGCTCATTACAGCAATTTGCAAGTAGCCATGACTTCACTTAAAGTTTACTACTAATTAATGTGGACAGAAAAATGAAGTCCAGGCATATTTATGAAAAAAATGTGTATTTTTTGAAAGTTTGGATAGATAAACTTAATCTTCATTTTTCACAACTCAAAGACCAAACAGCAGAAATTGGTTTTCCCAGCACACCAGAGAACAAGAAGCAGTCAGCTGCATGGAAATACTGACATCATACCTGTCTGCATGCAGAATTGCTGTTCATTAGCCTGCCACTTAGATCCCGAGGCCAAGTCGCTCCAGCAACATGAAAAGCTCAGACAACCCCGACGAAGTTTCTTATTACTTGCTGTTTTTCTGTTCCTCGGTCAACCTCCTTTCATCTTGGTTAGTCAGCTCCTAGTCATGTATAATACTAACAAGTGGAGCTGTGATTTGTATCTGCTCCATTCTTCTTGTTTCTCTGAAAACTTGGGAAATAGGATTAATGCTTTCCAGTGGACATGACTTTCAAAACCCGAAGCATATCCGTGTCAAACAATCCCACTGTTTCCCTGAAAAGATGCTGAAGGAGCTATAAAAGTGGTTCCATATGATTGACTGAAATGTGATTTATCCAGTCACCATCAGCATAATTTACTGGCTGGCATGTATTTTGCCTACCATTTGGCAAAAGCTTGATATATGATGTGCTCCAAAACTAACAAGACTGAAATGAAGTGTGTGTGTGTGTGTGTGTGTGTGTGTGTGTGTGTGTGTGTGTG